CACTTCACCATCTGTGTCGCAGTTTCACGTCTCCAAAATGAGCGTACGCATGGGTCAGAGCTGTGAGGCACCGCACATTTTCACATCAAGTTTGGATTTTATAAATCACAACCTCGGCGTAAAAAGTGGCGTACGCAAGTTTCTGGGCTCAAATTGTGCGTACGCCAGTTTTATAAATCCGACCCCAGGACCGTAGAGTAGCTGTTAATTAAAGAAGACCACCAGGTCGCTGCTCCTGGATTTTCTGCTGTAGCCATTGTAGGCAAATTACACCCAATAATCAATCAAACAATAATCAGTTTAAATTCTGCAGTTCTGTTTTTGTTTTCCTTGTGTTGGAAATCATACAGCTCTGGTTTATTTGATGATTGAGACAGTTCAGATTTTCATAACTGTTCCATACCCAGCCTGCATTGTTATAAAGGTATTTTAATCACTTGATTATGTTTAAAAAGTTAATTTTAGACTAATATAACTGAGCACAGGTCGGAGCACCCTTGTCAGCCCTCTCAGCTGATGTATCCAGACTTCCCCGTGGAGACTCACCCGAGTCAGTATCAAGTCCTCAATCGGTACGTCCTCAAACACCCCCCACTGTCCACACAGCAACTCCTCAACTACAGCTTCTTTTTACTGTATGTTTCAGAACTGCATTTTGAACAAACAGAAGAAGAATGTAATGTTTGGACTAAAATTTAAAAGAGATTTGAAGCACTCTTTGTTTTCTCAGTGTTTTGCCCCCTGGTCCACCCACCTGTAGCCAACTCAGCTCTGCCTCCTGGTTTACTGATGAACCTGTGTGCTCCGGTGCCATGGTTAGTTTCAATGTAAACAATCCAATAACCACGTCTGAGCAGGGAAACTGAATTGATTTGTTTGTTTTAAAAGCAAGTTTTGCTCTGTGTTTTTTTAGGCTGGTTTACACAAACATGATGTCATAGACCATCAGCAGTTTCTGGAGGGACCACCTGAAGTCACTCCTCCAGTCACACAGACTGTAAGTACTGCTCAGAACAGATGCCACTAAATGTAAGTGTATTAGGGCTGCACAATATCAAAAAATCATGCGATGGTGTTAACATCTATAAATATTGCGATGATGTGATTTGTCTTATTTTTCTTTCCTCCCTTTCTAACGTGTACTTCCTACTCTATGTGACCTTTAGCACATTTGGCAATGTTACTTGTGTCTGCTGTTAGGGATGTCCCGATCAGAAACTCAGTAGCAATCTGCGATATGGCAAAAAATTCATATCATGATATACGTTATGATGGGTGGCGGTAACGATATATATCATGATATAAAACTTATAATAAAAAATAAATAAATCACACATTAATTTAGTGGAATAAATATCTATAGGTAAAAAAATTTAGACCTTAAAATCTCCTTTTT